AGCACTCACAACCCCAGGTTCATCCAGCTTAGAAGGCTTTTTTCCATCTCTCTTTCCTCTAGATCTTGATCTTACTCGAGCACTCATATTTCTCAACTTAAACTCCTGGGAGAATGATCAAGTCTCAGTGAGAAAGAATCCAGACAGAAAGACGCCACTTGCACAGCTCCGCACCCAGAGCTTTTTTCTTTTTTTTAAGATTTTTTTTTTTTTTTCAGAGCAAACTTTTAAATCTTTATTGAGAGAATTTAAGCCAAATTATCAATATAACAAACTGTATGTGTGGCTTCAGCTTCTCGTCTTTGTAATTTATGACTGTCCATCACCTAAAACATAAACGTAACAGTTGGGTACGTCACTTAGCAGAACTTTAGGCAATAACAAAAGTACAAAAAGGACACTACGGCTTTGGTTTTATAAGATGAACCTAAAACCAGAACCCTAACCACTGCATAGACTTCTAAGCTAATGTACATTTTCAGGCTTTTTAACTTTTCTAACTTTTTAAACGCATCACTCTTTTTGGTGGCATGGAGAAACACAGATTTCTCAAACCCAGAACAGATTAAATTCCAAGAGCTTATTTAAACATAATTTTAAGTAGCGAGCAAAATATGCCGGTGATTTCAGTTAAAAGAAAATCAACCAAGTAGAAACTCCAAGAAGCAAAACAAACAAGTAAACCCAGTGTCATTAGAATTCATTCAAATTCATTCACTTGAAATGGTCTTCTAGTTATCCATATTAGCTAAAATAATAATGTCATACTTGGAATTGTTTTAACTACATAGAGGCAAAGGACATTATTCCATTTGGTTTGTCTCTTTTGTGCAAAATTCTTTCGCTGATCTAGCTCAACCCTTATATGGTCTATTTATACTATGGTGGCCATTTTGTTCATTTGCACCTATCGTCCTGGTGTAAGCAGTCAACAGCACTCCCTTTAACTCTCAAGAGTGTCCTGGTTTAGATGATGATAATTACATGATCACCAAAAAAAAAAAAAAATTACAGATCACACTAATTATAAGCCACTGCCATCATAGATGACATTAAAATGTGAAGGAAAATATCACCATTTCTCATTTGTAGAGCTCACAATTTAAAAAAAAATCAACAAACTAACCCATAAAAACAAAACAAAGAGATCCATATTATTTTTTGGTGTCTAAAAGATACAAAAGATATAGTTATTTTTGAGAAACAGTTTAGGCAAATTAAAAGAAAATCAATACTACTGTGTTGTTTAGATATCCAATTGATATTTGGGTATGTTAAATAATTCATGTACTTTAAAAAGTATTCGACCACTTGTATTGGGTTTCAAAGGACTTCTATTCCAAAGTAATAATACTTCCATATTTTATAATTCAACAACATGGCTTTGACTTATTTTTTTTGCTCTGACTCTGTCTTTGAATCTAACATTTCATGTATGAACTACCTTCCAAATAATCTTTACATTTGTGATTTGTTACAAAGGTATGATAATATTGCAGAAAAAAACAACCCCATGACTTGTATTCTTAATGGATAACTTACCTGCTTCTTGAATTTTAGCAAGTGTTACGTTAGGTGGAGTCTTCCCTTTCACATCAGGGCCATCTCCAAGCTCACCCCCAGTCTTTTCCAGACCCTTTTCCTGGCTTTCAGCTTTCAATTCAAGTTCTTATATAAATAAACAGAATTATTAATGTAAGCAGTAAACCATAAATTACTCTTACTAAATAAAGCTCTGTAGGTTAGTACTGTAATAAATGTGATATATAAAAACGCAATGAGCATTAAAGAGTTTTCGGCTAGAAAATGGAGTTGTTTCTCATATATTATCTCCTCTACGAAGCTTTTCATTTTCTAAAACGGTTTTAAGACAACTTAGTTGTCACCTTTGTAACCTATATACATTTCTATTATTATACTTATTAGATCAGCTATTTGTTTACATGAATTTCTGGCAAGATTGTGAGCTCAAGACAGAAATCATTCTCTCATTTATATTTTTTTCCTCAGCATCTAATACATTACCTGCCACCAAGCAGGCCCCAATAAATTAACTGAAAAAAGTCATTACAAATAGTAAGACGAGACAAACCCAAGCTGAAGAATATTTTACAAAACAAATGGTTTGGATTCCAAAAAATGTCAATCATGAAAGACAAAGAAAGACTGAAGTACACTTCTAGGAAAAAGGAGTCCAAAGAGAGATGACAACTAAATACAGTGGGTGGTTCTGGGTTGATCCTGGATCAGGAAAAAATAATGGTATAAAAGATACTACTAAGCCAATGGGCGCCTGGGTGGCTCAGTCGTTAAGCGTCTGACTCTCGATTTCGGCTCAGGTCATGATCTCAGGGTCGTGGGATCGAGCCCCACATAGGGCTCTGTGCTCAGCAGGGAGTTTGCTTGAGATTCTCTCTCTCCCTCTCCCCCCTGCCCCTCCCTCCACTCACACAAGCACACACAGGCCCCTCTCTCTCTAAAGTAAATCAATCTTTAAAAAAAAAAAAGAATATGTGACAACTAGATTATGGTTCAGGAAAACAAAAACAGGGGCGCCTGGGTGGCTCAGTTGTTAAGCGTCTGCCTTCGGCTCAGGTCATGATCCCAGGGTCCTGGGATCGAGTCCCACATCGGGCTCCCTGCTCGACAGGAAGCCTGCTTCTCCCTCTCCCACTCCCCCTGCTTGTGTTCCTGCTCTCACTATCTCTCTCTCTGTCAAATAAATAAATAAAAATAAAATATTAAAAAAAAAAAGGAAAAACAAAAACATTGAAGACTTTAACAGCCCCTAGGAAAGGATTTCACATTTTTGTTTCTCTATGATTTTCAAAAATTACAATCTAAGAACTAACCAAAATATATCTAGGTTTGCTCAAATGTTTGATGCAATGACTTAAGCCCAGAAAACAGCATTCAAAAAAGGCCAAATTTAACTAGTGATATAGTGTAAATTCTATCTAAATTTAATGTTGTTTCCCTTGATTTGCTAATATAGAGCCCTGGCAAGAACTGTATTTTCCAAGTATGCCAAATAATATTTTCCAAGCATGCCAAATAGTTTTAATTCACCATGGGATGGTGAGGTGCTGAAAGAAGGAACACTTATCAGAGAAGGACTGTAGTCAGCTGCAAACTCCACCTTTCCCTTACCAAACAGGTTTCCAGCCAATTTTCAGGGAACCCTTTATCCATTTCTATTACTAATACAACCTCCTAAATGAAATACAACATGTTTCTCCATCCCCTCATCACCTTGAACCCCACATGCTCCTTCTTCTCTCTCTTGTCCAGGCTCAATATCCAGATCCTCAGTTGGTGGTTCCTCTTTTTGCACTGTTTTTTTACCCGGTTGCTTAGCCTTGGGGGAGGGTAGGTGCAAATAGTATTGATATTAATACTATAATGATAGAAAGCGCAAATATACATACTACATGGAGATAATTAATCACAAATCTGAATTTTTCCTATGCTCTTCTCTGTAAGTATTCAATAAAATTACTCTTTCTTATAAAGAAAATATTCTAAGAAAGGAATTATCTGCAAGGACCAATAATTCTGGAAAACTTTTTAATCTTTTCTGAGATGTATTACCATTTTATTAACAAGTACAAGAGGAAAAATCATAGAGACGAGTTCCAGGCTCAATCTACGTAGCCAGGCAACAGCAGAATATAAGTCTTTTTGCTCAGTCTCTTTTGTGGGATTAATTTTTCACCCATTTTCAGCAAGGAAGTCCTTTAAACAACAGATCTATATTGGTTCAACAACTTTTTCAATGGTTTTTCATAAAAAATTATTTCTGCCAATGGAAGTAAGACGTTAAAGCACTCACAACCCCAGGTTCATCCAGCTTAGAAGGCTTTTTTCCATCTCTCTTTCCTCTAGATCTTGATCTTACTCGAGCACTCATATTTCTCACTGAAAGTAGAAAATCGTTAACTGAAAATTGTAAGAAAACAATAATTATACTGGACTATCTTCACAGCCAACTGCTGATTATAAATTCTTTTTTTACATTTTTTGAGATTTCCAAAATAAATCTTGAATTAGTAACAACTGCCTATTTTCCAATCACATCAAATTAGGCTGTCTACAAAATCTGTTTCCCAGCAATCTGGCAGACAAGGGACCTTCAAGTACTTGAAAAAAGACATACAACTTTCCCAAAGAGATTTAGTTTCATAAGTGGACTCCCCACTATGAAGAGATTTCATAATATATAGCCCTGTCCACCTCCCCACTGACCATTTTCAATTCTGTGCTCTGTCAGCAGTTTCAGGTGCCTCCAGGACTCAGATGCCTCCAATAGCACCCCTTAGACTCCCCCCATCTTCATCTGGCACCCTCCCCTTCACAGCCCATCATCCTCCCTTTCCCAGCACCCCCACCCACAAAGGCCATGGTGGCCATACCTGTGAGGAGGATAACGACCTCAAGGAATTTACTCCCCAGAGACCAGGAACTACACTGCCCCTAACCACCGAAAGACAGAAAGCACCCTCCTCACACTCACTCAAACTTGAACTCCTGGGTGGACAAATCTGCGGACCTACCGATTGAGTCTCAGTGAGAAAAAATCCACAAGTAAGACTGGCCCTGCTCAGCTCAGCACCCGGAACGCGCTGCGCATGTGCCCACACCAACCACCAAGAGGCAACTGCTGGGCACTGCGCATGTGCACTGCGCATGTGCACTGCATCGGGCAAGTGCCGTAGGGGGAAGGGCTTCCCTGCCCCCTGAGGCTTCACCAAAAATTCCCAAATCTGTCCTCTATCGGCAGTTCCCAGTGTCTCCAAGACCCAGATACCTCAAATAACATCACCAAGATTCGTCCCATCTTCATCTGACCTCCCCTTCCTCACCTGCCCGCCATCCTCCCTTGTCTCGGCGCCCCCCCCCAACAAAGACAAAAACCGCAAGACGCGTTAAGAGAAATACGATTACCCCAAGAACCTTGCTCCTCGGAGACCCGTCTGAAGCCCACTGGCTCTTTCCTTACTCACTCACACTTAAACTCCTGGGAGAATGATCAAGTCTCAGTGAGAAAGAATCCAGACAGAAAGACGCCACTTGCACAGCTCCGCACCCAGAGCTTTTTGCACACGACCCACACCAAAGGCTGATGGGAAGGCACGTAGCACTGGACACGTGCACTGCCGCAGCACGTGCCACGTGGTATGGCTTCCCCTCCCCCCACCAGGGCCGTGCCCCAAATTCCCAAATCTGCCCTCTTTCAGCTCCTGGTGCCTCCGGGACCCAGATACATCAAATGATGACCCAAGCTCTGTCCCATCTTCATACGACCCCCTCCCCTCCACAGCCCACCATCCTCAGTTGTTCTCCACCGTGACAAGAGCCATGGTAGCTGCAACACCCACGAGAAGAACAAAGACCTCGGGGGCTTTCTGCCACAGAGGCCAGGAACTACACGGTCCTGCCCCCCCAAAGCCCACTAGCTCTCTCCTCAAACTCGCATTTAAACTTCTAGACTGATCTGGAGACCTACCTCTTGAGTCTCAGACAGCGAGAAAGAATCCAGACAGAACGATGCAATCTGCACTGCACTGCACCCGGACCACGTTGCACACACCAATGGCTGATGGGACAGTGTGGGCACTGGGCATGCGCACTGCATCCCACGTGTGCTTCGTGGGCGGGGCTGTCTCATCCCTTCATCCAGGACCCCACCGAGGATTCCATAATCTGTCCTTTGTCAGCAGTACCTGATGCCTCTGGCACCCAGATACCTCAAATAACATCCCCAAGACTCACCCCAACTTCATCTGACCCCTTTGCAGCCCACCGTCCTCCCTTGTCCTGACCCCGCCACAGCAAGGGCCGTGGCAGCCACAGGACCTTTGAGGAGAAAGAGGACGAGTTGGAGGAACTTCCTTCTCAGAGACTACAAATCTCTCTGCCCCGATCCATCTGAGTCTTGCTGGCCCCCCCTCACACTCATGCATTCACGCCTATTCACATTTACACTCGCCGAGAGACAGGAGAGCGCCTGTTGGAGAATCAGAAAGGGCATGAAAATGGTATCGATCTTCCGTTGCCACCTAAACACAACCTCTGCGGAGTCAACTTCACCAGCCAATCCCAAGCTTCGGAGGTATGTGTAATAACACCTGTGGGTATGCAGGGCGATGTGTGTGTCACATAGGCTGTGGATCCAGCCTTCCCCAACCAAGCAGAAACTCTGCCCCGCCTGGAGCAGGGCATTGTTTCTGAGTTCTGGAAGACTTGTCCTTCCCTTCTCCACCCCCAAAATCTTTCAGTGTGTCTAGGACTGTTCCCAGCCCTGCATTTCACCTGCCAATTGGCTCTCCAAATTTTCTCCTCAGTGCAGCTGTCCCAGGGACCCTCAAGAGAATCTTTAGTCTCCCCAGAGATGTGTGAAAGCTTTTAGGCTCTGAAAGTGTGCAAAGCCATTTTAGGCATGAGAGGAATCCAGAAAATGCAAAGAAACGGATTGATAAATCCAAATCCAAATGTATAAGCTTTAAAACTCGTACACAGGGCGCCTGGGTGGCTCAGTTGGTTAAGCGACTGCCTTCAGCTCAGGTCATGATCCTGGAATCCCGGGATCGAGTCCCACATCGGGCTCCCTGCTCAGCGGGGGGTCTGCTTCTCCCTCTGACCCTCTTCCCTCTCTTGCTATCTGTCTCTCATTCTCTCTCTCTCAAATAAATAAATAAAATCTTTAAAAAATAATAAAATAAAATAAAACTCGTACACATCTTGTAACCCAGCACTTGTACTTCTAAAAACTTAATGTTAGGGCACCTGGGTGGCTCAGTCAGTTCAGCGTCTGCCTTCCGCTCAGGTCATGATCCCAGGGTCCCAGGATCGAGTCCCACATCAGGCTCCCAGCTCAGTGGGGAGTCTGCTTCTCCCTCTACCCTCCCCCCTGCTCATGATCTCTCTCTTTCACTCTCTCTCTCTCAAATAAATAAATAAAATCTTAAAAAAATAAACCTTAACATAAAGGAAACTGTCTTGGATGTGAACAAAGATTTAGATACATGGGACTTCCAAAGCAGCTTAATTTATAAAAAGAATGGTCATGGACTTGCTAAATAAATAAATTGCAGCACATTTGAAAATGTAATGTGGCCACCCATCAAAACCAATACTGAATAATGTCTGCTGTCATATTGGTGCTGCTCACATTGAGTTATTAACTTGAAACAGCTGGTTATGTAGCATTGTGTATGTGCAGCACGATCCCAAAAGAAGAGAGAGGCTTTGGAAAAGTTCACCTCCTACTCCTCTCAGACAGTAAATAGACTTTGTTTTCCTGAAGCCAGCAAGTTCCAGGGCTCCAAAGACACATGGTACTCGCCAGGTAACACAGCAGGTAAAATGCAGTCCTCAGGGTTGTAGGTCTCCTGCATCTAGTAAACCTCCAAAAGCTTCACCATCACCTAGGTGGTCTGGTCCTCCACTGTCAGGGGAAGAATGAGGGGAGGGGAGGGGAGGGGAAGAGGAGGAGGACAGCCGCCCACTGCTCCTGCTTTTGGGAAACAACGGCAGGTGGATACCCATAAGACAGAAAGGACTTTGCCCTTCCCTGCCCTATCTCCACCCCCTACCAAAAACCCTTTCTGTCTTTCATTCCCAAACCCTGCAGGTTACCTTTAGAGAAGCACACATTCTTTGATAGTTAGAAAGATCCCCTGTGGCAGAAGCAGAATTGCCACGTTACTCCCTCTCTTCTTCCCTCTCTCCCCTCCTCTCACCCTCCCTGTCTCATACAGACAAGCTCTAGAGTCAATTTAGAGCCAAGTGTAAAGAATATATAATTTTTCCTTAATCTCACTAATCAGGGATAACCACTTTTCATATCGAATCAGGAGCTGTTCCTACAACTCAGATCTTCATGTGTGTGAAATAAAGATTTATTGAGAAGGACTGAAGTCTCATACTCTTTAATCAGCATAAACTGTGGGATCTGACCTCAGTCTCATGTTTCCCCTCAGGTAAGCTCTTTTATTGGCTCTTAGTCGTTTCCTGTTATCTCTTGGAAAGGCTATCTGCTGCCCAGCTGTCTCCCTGACCTTGGTGCTTTGTCTGTTGGCAGCAGCTGTGCTGTCTGGGTAGGATCAAGTTTCTTCAGGACGCTGGGAAGATGGGGTCCTGTCTGTGTGAGAGCTTGGAGTCTAAACTGAAAAAAAAAAAAATCCAATCTGCGCAGTGCTGCAAGCCTTCCGGGTAACCTCATACTCGGACAGCGTTAGGACAGAGCAACTGCTCTGACCAAGGACAATCAGGTACTCCCAAGCCCTTGTTTGTATCCTTGTGAAGACTGCAGGTATCATTTCATTTTATTTATTTTATGGCACAAGTAAAATCTGCTCCTTGCAAATAATTCAGTCAACTAAGAATTGCTCCGTCCCACTGTCATGTCATGATTATTTAAATCCCAGCATGAGGTCATCTAATTCTGGGTAGAATTAACGCCTGGAAGTAACAGTGTTCTTGCTAGGACCACTGAGGGGAGCCACATGGCATCCCTTTATGCCATTCCTGTCCCTCCCCTCCCTCATCATAGCAGAGGGAAAAGAGATTTTTTTTGTCCATCCATTTACCATTGTTGGAGGTGATGATCAAGAATGGGGACTAGCGACTGTGCCCAGTCTGGAGTGGAACAGGTATCAAGGTCCAACCCCAGGCCAAGGCCCAGGTGGTACATGGGCCAAAGGTGAGCCCCTTTCAGACTGTCCGAAGACCCACTGGGAGAAATGTAATATATGCTACCTGGGTCAGCTGTGAGCAGGATGTACAGACACAAGGCCGTGGTGAAGCCACGGTGAGGAGAGGCAGCTGTGACTGTGCTGAGTGGGTGCTGACCCAGCCTGCGTCCGATACCTGGAGGAGGGGAAGAGTCAGGGTCACGTACTGACCGCGAGTGTGTGCTTCCGAGGGAGATGATGGTGGTGGGGAGTGCTCTGTTCTTCCCTGTCTTGTCTTCTGCTGGCCTAGGTACTGCCCCTGTGGGTCTGAGTGTGAACCACACCTGGGAGTTACTGCTCACAACCAACACCCTCATGTGCAGTTGGGAGAAATCCCAACAGCTAGCCTTGGAGAGAGAGAGAGCAATAGAGGGTATACAGCTAGGGTGTATGAGTTGTGTCTGTGGTGAGCCCCAACAGCTTGCGTAACCCATCCGCACCCCTTTAGATGAGGGAGAGGAAGCAGGTTTAGAGGCTCATGAGAAACTCCTGACACTCAGTATCTCTCAGTTAGTAATGCACTAAGCATTCTTTCCCAGCAATCTCCCTTTTGGGATTCATTCTAAAGGTATATTCATCCAAGTAGACTGTGGTATATATACAACAGTTATAAGAATGCAAAAAGTGCCTGTGTGTTCAGTAATGTATTTGCTCATAGGAGCTGCAGTAACACTAGACAATGGAAATTTTGCAGCCATTGAAGAATTAGATCAATTAACATATAGTGGTATATACTGATGTCCATTAATTAAGGTTAAATAATACCAAAAAGGCATAGAATACTATAGTATGGTTTTGTTTATTTTATTTATTTATTTTTAAAGATTTTATTT